TTCTGGAGTTGTGGCAGGTTGGTTGACAAGCACTTTTTCTGCATTTCTAAGTCACTCACCTCTCCTCCATAGGAGTCCTATTCTCCAAAAATGTCCTGGTGCATTTTTCATATCCTCTCTAATTCTTGGCAGCGCAAACTATTCGTATTTTTAAAATCTTTTCCTGTTTAAGCAGTTTTATTGAAATATAGTTCACAAATTAAATGTTACTGGATGTTAAGCTTCTTATTTCTCATTGCTCCCCCAAAAACATGGGAAACAAACTATTGTGGTAACAAGAAAAAAGATTATTCAAAACTAATTTGAATGATAACATCATGCAATACAGCAACCATTGTTGAATTTCTTTTACTTTGTTTAATGAAATTTAGTATAGTTTCCTTTTTTTTGGTTCTTTTCTGTATTTTAGGGAAGGGTCTACAGGGTGTTCAGGGTCTCACTACTAGATCAGAATCATAGTGATCCGCCTGTTTATAGCCTCCCAAATGCTGGGATTACAGATGCGCACCATCATACTCACTCTCTGTATAGTTTCTAAATGCTTTTTTTTACTCTTTTATATTCTTTAAACCAAAACAACAAACCAAACTAGCTGCTGAGAGACAAGGCAGCCTTTGCTTCTAATCTCTGTATCTTTGTGTTCAGATTTACAGAGGATTTTATTGCAGGAAAGAGAAAAGAGGAATACAGTGAGATTGTAGACCAAAAGTGTGGGGGCTATTTCCAAATGTCTCCAACCCTGGTGGAAATGACGTCAGAATCCACTTCTGCAGCTACCCTCTGCCCGGTCCTTACAGACAGGAATGCTATTTTTCTTTTGTTGTTGTTGTTGCAGACCTGGGGATTGAACTCAGGCCTTTGCTTGGCAAACACTTATTCTACTGAGCTATCTCCCCAGCCCCAGGAATGCTATTTTTCTAATAGGTCCCTTTCTCTGTCCATTCATGTGAGTGGAGGAGATGAGGAAGTGTTGGTTTATGTTCTCAGTTTTACAGCTATAAAAGCAGACTATCCCTAAAAGAAAAGAATCATGCTTTTGAAAAATTCCATTCAACTGCTTTGACATAGGGCCATTAAGCTCAAGTGTAAATTCAATATCTGGTATATTCATAGTATAGTATCCATATCCACAGTCAGTTTCAAACACTTTTATGACTTCAAAAAGAAACCATCTCCCCTCTACAATTCACACCTACCTCCTCTTATACCTCAGCTCTAAACAACTACTAGTCTACTTTCTGTTTCCATAGATTCCTTTTCTGGACTTCTTATAAAAATGGAATCACATAGTATGTGGTTATTTCCAGATCTTTCACTTGGCAGTATTCTAAAGGTCATCCAAGTTGTGGCTTGTACCCTACTTTATTCTCTCCTATGACTGATATATAATCCACTACATGATCATAAAAACTTTGGTTTATCCATTCGCCAGCTGATGAACATGTGGCGGCTTTTACTGAGTTATTACCAGTACTACTTCTAGAAACAACCACGCACAAGTTTCTGGGTGGACATATGTTTCTCTTGGCACGTACATAGAAAAGGAATTGCTGGAGGATGGGACAACTTGATGTTTAACATTTGGAGAATTTGCAAGAATGTTTTCCAAGACAATCGCGCCATTTTATATTTCCACCAGCAGGGTATATGGCTTGCAACTTCTTGTGCTGTCCAACACTTGGCTCTTTACTGCTGTTCTAGTGTACATGAAATATTCTTTCACACTGGACTTGATTTGCATTTCCTTGATACTGAGAAACTACCACTTCCTCATCTTCTCCACTCAGATGAATGGACAGAGAAAGGGGCCTGTCAGAAAAATAGCATTCCTGTCTGTAAGGACCAGGCAGAGGGTGGCTGCAGGAAGGGGATTCTGACATCACTTCCACCAGGGTTGGAGACAGTGGGAAATGATGTTGAGCATCTGTCTACATAATCAAGACTTTTAGTAATAGTCTAGGGTGGAGGAAAGTGTAACAGGAAAAACCTTCCTTCTAAATATTAGAAAAAGGGCCAGGGAGGGCCGGGGAGATGGCTCAGTGGAATAAGCACTTCCCTGGCAAGTGCAAGGGCCTGAGTTCAATCCCCGGTTTGGCCAAAAATAAAATTAATTGATTAATTAATTAATATTAGAAAACACTGTTGTTCATCAATAAGTACAGATTTCTATTTCCATGGTTCTTGACATGGTTACTGTGCATTACTTTCTGGCATTTCTGGCTAAGATCAAATGTGACCACTGTGTGATTAAGGGACATAAATGTCCTGCATTGAATAAATGTCCCTTGTGTATTACTGGGTCTGGGGATTCTAACAAATGACTCTCCAAAGTTGATTGAAAGAAAATAATTCATTGCAAAAGGCTAAAAGGCCCCCTTTTTTAATCACCAATGCCACATGTACTCTGTTTTTGCAAAGTGTGTTAATGTGATAAATATGAAGGGGTTGTGAAAGCCTTACCATGGAGTATGTAACTTATCACCTAAGAGAAGGATGGCAGGATACTGAAACGGGCTTTATGCAGTTCAATCATATTGTCAAAGTTGGGGCACATTATACATGTCAAATAACTAAAAGTTGAGTTTATAGGACATAGAGACTTGTGTTCCTTCATTTGTTCCTGTATATGTTTAAATTTTTTCAGAATGAAAAGTTTATATGGTGAAAGATGTTGATTACCTCATGAAAAAGGGATGGGGGGCCAGGGAAAAGGCTCA